ACAGAAATGTAAAACTTCATCTAATAATTAACCAGTTTAGCAGTAGCCTCAGCAGCAGTGGATCTCAACATACACAGTGAGAAAAGCAAGATTATCCGATACAACACAACATGCAACAACCGAATCAAACTTGATGGGGAAGTTTTGTTAGGTGTAAAAAATTATATCTCAGCAACATCATTGATAAACATGATGAATCTGATGCAGATGGGAATGCGCAGATCGGTAAAGCAAGAACAGCATATCTACAAAAGAGAAGAACATTTGCAACTCAAAACATCTGTCTGTCATCCAACACCAAATTCAGAATTTCCACTACAAATATGAAGACAGATCTACTGTATAGAGAGGGAACTAGGAGAACTAAGAAACGCACCATCCAGAAAATACAAGTGTTTATTAATAGCTGTCTATACAAAATACTTTGGATCGGTTGGTCAAAAACTATCAGCAACAATTTATTAGTTGAATTTATGACTTAATTGAAGTTAATAGAAAACTTGGAAGTACTTGATGGCTGGATTAGTTGAAGCTAGACAGTAATATCGTAGAATACCGACCGGTTCAGTGGTCTAGAGATAAAGCGCTCACACGTGAAATTGATAGATCATACGTTCAGATGAGAATGTGGCTGAGCACTTCTGAGGAGTTCCATACCAGGACGAAATAGTCATCCAGTACTTCTAAGTTTTACGATGATAGTCTAATCCCAATTGACTTATGAATTCAACTATTAAATAAAACAATAAACAAACTCTATAGGAAAAAAGAATTCTTCAGAATTTTATGACATATCATATTCTTAATAATAATTGAAAGAAAAGAGAAAGCAATGTGAAATGAACATTTTGTTTTCCTTTATTATTTACATTACCAATTAATATTGATTCATTTTGCCAAAAAAAAGTTACGTAATGATTTTTTGGAAACTAAACTACATGGGGTTTTATTGCAAATAATTGAATATCTTTCAACATCAATACTTTCATGAAGTTTACCTTCTTTTTCTTTGAAACTTGTAAACAACTTACATTCTGAAATGATGATAAAATAGAATTGGAATATATATATATGCTTCACAAAGATATGTCAATTCAACGATAGGCTAAATAATGAATAAGCCTTAGGAAACTAAGTCTATTAGTAGGTGAATTCTATTAGGTCAGATTAAATAAATATCAATGAAATACTAAATATTAGTTGATTACACGCAATATCTAAACCATTTTTTCTTCAGTCAACCGATAATAACACATTAGAAATTTTATATTCTATGAATAACACTTAGTTACTTAGGTATGCCTGTTGCTCCTAATGGAGCATAGGACGCCGACCACTATTCTCCAACCCGTTCTGTCCTGAGACTTCCTTTCTAGTTCTATCCAAATGTTGATCATTCTTTTCACGACTTTCCATTTCTCCTCATAATGTGTTTGACCAACGGATCTGATGTATTTTGTGTAGACAGCTAATAACAAACACTTGTATTTTCTGAATGATGTCTTTCGTAGTTGTCATAGTTTCCTCTCCATACAGTAGAATTGTCTTGATATTTGTAATGAAAATTCTGACTTTGGCGTTGACAGTTGACAGACGGTTGTTTTGAGTTGCAGATGTTCTTCATTTGTAGATATGCTGCTTTTGCTTTGCCGATCTGCGCATTCACATCTGCATCAGATTCATCATGTTTATCAATGATGTTGCTGAGATAAGTAAAAATGTTTACATTTTGCAAATCTTCTCCATCAAGTGTGACTCGGTTGTTGCATGTTGTGTTGTATCGGAGAATTTTGCTTTTCTCATTGTGTATGTTGAGACCTACTGCTACACTGTTTAATGATTGGATGAAGTTTTACATTTCTGTATGAGACGATTACACATTCTATTAATTAGTGTTTATGAACATATAATATTGTACTATTTTCATTTTATTGTTACAAAACATGGAACTATCAAAAAGGCATTTGTTCATCAAAGTATGATAATTAAATTGACTTTAATCGTATTATTCTTTTGACATTATCAGTTATGTATTGAAATAATTTGACATAATAAACACATCATAATGAAGTTTTCACATGGTGTACTTTACTAAATATCAATGATAGGGTCAAACATTTCCAAACTACATTATAGGAGAATTAGTTGATTTAATTTTAATTTGGGTATCCTAAAATGAAATTAATCTTTCCGTAAATTATGTTTGTACAACTATTAGAAAACATAACCAACCATAACCTTCATTTGAATAAATTGTCCAAGTTGTTTTCATTATTGAAAATTAAATACACTTTATATGCAATTATGGATAGTGGCTAGCAATGGAATCCAGGACGCGCGTTTCGTCCTATTTGGGACTCGCCAGCTGGATGTATCTATATCACAGAGTTGATATTCACCCTGGGACTCGAACTCACTACAGTTTGCTTCAAACGCCATCGCGTTATCTACTTAACTACTGAGTTCTGTTAGCCAGTCACCTACTTGTGCAATAGGAGTCTGATCAAACGTAGTCTTAAATAACAACAGCAAGGTACAACTAAACACCATCAAGTATATGTATATGTATATTTTGTTGCAGAATAATATTTTATCTGCATTTCGACAGTGTTATGGTATTTTTTTAGGAGATTTTGTGTGTATAATCTTCAAGGTACGTTTATATGAGCTAGAATACATCATGGCGTTTGACATCTAGTTAGTGTTCTTTCACACAAGGAATAAGTGTTGATTAAATATTCCTCATTCTTACATGTTGATCATCTGAACTTAATGTATTGGAAGCTAACGTACACAGATAAAGTTCTCAATTGTGTTATTCTGCATCATACTCACGAGGCATCATATTTAGCAGCAAGTTGATTTGAAGTCTCTGAATTCCATATCTCTTTGATACGCAATTGAACTTGATAAATATTAAAATAATCCCTTTCAGATATCATATCTATTTTTGATCAGCTTTCTTTTTTCAGGTACCAAATTGTGACAATTTATATCACAGCCAATTTAAAAATCGTGCCACACTGCTTCCGAGATTCCGACGATGTACAAACTTTATAACATAAGGCAGTAATATTATTAATCATTGAGATAGTGGAGAAGATTTGTAGCTCAGGTGGAGTTTTGTTCTCTGAGCTGGATGGTTTGGTCGTGGAGCTTTCATCGTTCTTCTGAACGACATCATCAACACAAACTTCAGATAGGAGTGAAGTGTTTGAAATCAATCCCATTTATCAACCAATCAGGAAAATCATGCATAAATATAGGAACAAAAATCAAACCAATGGGAGACACAACTATAACAAAGGAGTAAACAATGACGAATTTAAGGTCGATAAGAAGCAATTAACATCGAGGTGCACAGAACAAGCTTTGAAACACATATGGAGAAATTCGAACACCTCACTTCTATTTGAAGTTTGTGCTGATGATGTCGTTCAGAAGGACGATGAAAGCTCTACGACCAAACCATCCAGCTCAGAGAACAAAACTCCACCAAAAAAATTATTAATCATTATTTACTGTTATGTAAATGACAGAGTACATAAAGTCCCTTAATCACCTAATTTCTGCAACGATTTGATATATCTATTTCATCAGGAATGTAAGTCATCTCAACCACATCTCGGCAAGCTCTCTGGTGTTAAACTGCATTATGTAACAAGACATCTCATAAATAATAATACACCAAATTGTGAAGTTTCCTATAACGTATGATATAAAATGAAAATAGGTTTATCTATTCTGTAATCCTTAAAAAGTATTTAATAAGAACCAAACATGGTAGCTTACTATAGTTTATATTTTCACTAAAAACAAAATCACTCAACTCACACTAAGCAACTCAAATAACACTATGTATGTTTTTTAAAAAAAATAACTCACAAAAACAAAACAGTCGTCCAGTGCTTCTTGATTTTCAATGGTGCTCTACTTTAGATTGACTCGAGGATTCAACTATGAAAATATTCACAAATCTCTATACTGATTCTGCAGCACTTTGAAAGACTCCTGGTCTCCCAAATTGTACGAGCATTCAATGTACCTAAATTAATGGTTGTTCCGGTTGTGAGCCATGCGACTTCCAAAGGAACTCGGCTTTCACCATGAGGTGTCATAACTCTTGTGAATGAAGACATTATAACTCCCAGGGCAGAGTTTAAATGCGTTGAATTATTTTATCTGGTTGGTGCTTTCTTTAGTGAGTTAATTTTCTACGGGGTGGGTCGCTAACCGCATGCCAAACCCTCCTCATTTATTTAGCCATGGGTTCGGCAGTATCCCCAAGAAGGCTCTAGTTGGAGTTCCTATAATGATAATTCATTATTAATTTGCTATGTGAAAATATAAAGTATTTTAAGATAACGACAATAAATATATTACATATTTTTTTCAATTTTATTCCAAGGTCACGGTAGAACACTTCAATTATTTTAGTATAAAATATGAACTAATAATTCATTAAAAATCATGAAATGAATGAATAATAAAATCTAAATATCCATAGATACTTTGAGGTTTACTTTCTATTGATTAATTGATTATAGACTATTAAAAACTTTTAATTTCTATCTAATGATATTCTGTGAAATATACATAAATGATCAGATCCAAAAACAAAAGTTATTTGTATATAATAAATCCCAGGTTTCAGGAAGAAGAGCTGGAAGTGGATAGGACACACAATGAGGAAAACACCAAACTGCGTAACAAGAAAAGCTCTCACTTGAAATCCTCAAGGCCAAAGGAGAAGAGGAAGACCAAAGAACACATTACGCCGAGAAATGGTGACAGACATGAGAAAAATGAACAACAATTGGATAGAACTGGAAAGGAAAACCCATGGCAGAATGGGTTGGAGAATGGTGGTAGGCGTCCTATGCTCCATTGAGAGTAACAGCCATAAGTAGGTAAGTGAGTACACCCCAGGTTACTAATAAAACATTTTAGTATCCATAACAGAAAAAGAAATTTTTAAAACTATTTACTACAATACTTACCTTTAAAATGAATGTAAATGTATTGTAAAATATTAATAATAGTAATAATATAAAATTATTCATCATTATAAATAGAGATATTATATTCGATTATGTTTAGTTACTATCGTGATTTACAAAAATATATTTCATTTATAATTTTTTAAATACTATAAATATGTTATAATAAAGTTTTAGGCAATCATCAGGCAACTTCTAATATCATCATTTGATTGGTTACTAAGTATTATATTAACATACATATATGTATGGAGATTGAAAATAACTGGTTTTTTGTAGGTAGGGTTCTGTCTACGTTTCTATATATTTATATATTATTAGTTGTCTATTGGGCTTGGTAAAAAAAAACTACACCATATTGCGTCATCTGACCAATAATAATGAAGTCAACTATATATATCTTCAGACTGAAGATGTTTAATGCATATGTTTTATGTACACCTCTGAGTTAAAATTATTAATAACAAGTCCTAAGGTCTGTTTATATGTTTTAGGAGAGGAAACCTATTTACTTTAGCCTTTTTTAAGTGAATTTCTCAGCTGTTTCTCAATTAACCCCAAATGCCCTGGTATGGCCGAGAGTGGGGTGGGCCCGCCCTCCCTCTTGAAATGCTCTCACACAGCCACAAGTATACAGCCTCTGCCAGGAAAGTTCTACTCATTGCCTTCTCGTGGCGGGGGTGTTGTCGACGAAAATGAGAGGACGAAAAGCGAATGTCCGGCGCTTTAACCGGATCCCAAACCAGTGGTGCACATGGGCTCCAGTATCCTGCGGGAACAAATGGCGTATGAACCAATTGTTGGTCACCGGCTACCATGGGACTGCATCTCCTTACGATGCTCCACTGCCTTGTGGATCAGACCTTCAGGTCGAAGGCTCGGAGTGTGGCCTCCTAAGATAACCACCTGCTTCGGTCTGGGCATCCGAGCAGTATCACAGCCCGCACACAAATATGATGAACTGTCGATAATTATGGAAAATACTTTTCTTGCTTCAACTATTAATAAAATGATTCACATTATTATTATTACTATTGTTATTATTTACTACGTCATTTATTCACTCTCTTTTATTCCTACTCTGTCTATCCTTATTTTTCGACTTATACTGCAGCTCGTCTATGGTGGAAATTCGGTTCTATCTAAACGTTCTCGAGTAGAGACGTTATCAGATATGGCTCAGAATAGAAGCCAATGGCGATCCTGCAGTAACCTTTTACTTTCTTCATAAAAAGTGGTTGCTTCTTCCTTAACTGAAAGATCTCTTCTGAGTGTACGTTTCTGTTTCCCCCATTATTATTATTACACTACCTTACACTAATTTATCCGTTATCGTTTTTTTTACGCTCATTACCTTTTTTTCCTTCTCTGCAAATTCTCATTGTTTTGTGTGGCGCATATATATTTGGTGCCCATCCTGTACCAATATTTATGTGTTTAAATAAATAAATAAATACACATTCAATTCACCAATTATGACTTTATTTAAAAGATCGAGAAATCTACACCTAGATATGGACATATCTGAGTGAAATTTATCATTATTCTTATTTTTCTTCGCTAGTTCTACAGAGTACCTTGGCATACTATAGTAACCTTTGTAATGCTTCTTTGCCTAAAAGAAAACATTTCAATGTCTTATAACAATTAAAATAAAAGAATCGTTCTTGTAAAACAGTATTTCCAATGTTAAAGTTCAAAATTCACTAGGAAAAACGAAATGTATTTTAAATTTTCTTAGTGTTATTTACTTCCCATTATTATTTAGGACTGCAATTGATCAGTCTCTTGTTGGCATATGTACATCCTGTGTGGATTATCTCGATATAGTCTTAAGTCACAAGCTTTTTAAGCAAAGATGGATAGTGACGAGCTTCAATCGATACTGGGTTCAAGTACCGAAATGAACATCAACTCTGCAATGTAGGTACATCCAGCTGACGAGTGCGAAATAGGTCGAAACGTGCATCCTGGATTCTACTGCTAACAACTATCCATCTTTGCTTAAAATGTATTGTAAGTTTTAAAAAGTAATTTTTTGATAAAATTTAGTTACATTATTAATCCACTTTACAATTATAATCAATAAAGATAAATAAATGTAAATATTAAGTCAGTGTTCATTATTATCTCTAACTGAATTTAATGGTAAATAAAAATACTTTTTAGTGTAAACTATCATATTCGTAAACATTTTATAGCTCCACCTTAAAAAACCTATTATACTTATGAAACAAAATTGGTTTCCTAAGGTAAATATTATCATGCATTCACTTAATCTAGATTGCATATTCCAGAATTTTGAGCAATGTCAATGACCTATATATTCAAAACTCAGTCATATATAAACATATATATTACATACTTAAGCCTGTTACTCCCAATGGAGGATAGTTCGCCGACCAGTTCTCGACAGAATGTGTTTATTGGTCTTCCACTTCTCCTTTGACATTAAGGATTTCATGTGAGGGTATGCCTTGTTACGCAGTTTGGTGTTTTCCTCAATATGTATCCTATCCACTTACAGCACTTCTTCCTGATTTCTTCCTTAGATGGAATCCAGTTTGTTCTCTCCCATAGTAAGTTGTTGCTGTTAGTGTCTAACCAACGGATCCGATGTATTTTGTGTAGATAACTGTTAATAAACACTTGTATTTTCTAGATGATGCGTTTCGTAGTTCTCCTAGTTCCCTCTCCATTCAGTAGAACTGTCTTGATATTTGTATTGAAAATTCTGACCTTGGTGTTGGCAGTTGACAGACATTGGTTTTGAGTTACAGATGTTCTTCATTTGTATATATGCTGCTTTTGCTATGCCGGTCTGCGCATTCACATCTGCATCAAATTCACCGTGTTTATCAATGATGCTGCTGAGATACGTAAAAATGTTTACATTTTGCAAATCTTCTCCATCAATTTTGATTCGGTTGTTGTATGTTGTGTTGTATCGGAGAACCTTGCTTTTCGCTTTGTGCATGTTAATATCTACTGCTGCTGAGGCTACTGCTACACTGGTCGTCTTCTCCTACATTTGTTGTTGCATGTGCGACTGAAGAGCCAGATCATCTGCGAACTCCATATGTCAAGTCCTTCTTTAATGTTTATCGAATTCTTCCATTTATGTTGCGATTTAGCTATAAGCCTAAGTAACTGGAATTAGAGTGAATTTTGTTGAGATTTAAGATGGTAGTAGGAGGTAGTAAACAGGAATCTCTGCTTGAGCTAAATTTCATGTCATTTGGCATTTATCAGCAAGTTGGACCTCAATCCTGTTAACCTGATGCTTCCTGCCGGATTAAATATTATGTCACCTAGTTTCACAGTCAGTCACATTACTGTCACAACTTTCTGTATAGTGTCAAATAGCACGGGATCTAGGTCAGTCAATCCATTACATATTTCGGTAGCTATTAAATAAGAACACTGATAAAAAAAATAGTGTACACAAATTCATTTACATATATTTGTTCATCAGGTTTTTGATTCTATAGAGTATGAATGTAACATGAATTTGATCACTAAACAGCGTTTCTATTTGTTAATATAAAGTTTTATTTGACATTCCTATTTAATAAGTTTTGAAATTTGTTTAACTTGAGAATAACACGAGTTTACTAACTAATCCCTTATGAATTAAAACATATCAGATTACTATAGTTTAATGAAAAGAATGAATAAAACTTTGGTATGTCAATACACGAATGATTATTTTGACTCAACATCATACTCATTTCAAATTGAATTTAGATTTGTCTTGGAATATCTGTTGTTGTAGAAGATCAGTTACATTATAATATCAATTTTTGAAGAGAAAAGAAAAAAAACAAGGAATTATTTTTGTCACATTAAATTAATTTATTCCACTAACATTTTGCTCTGAATAAATATTGAATGGATCAATAAAATGGTAACCAATGAATTATTGAATTCACCAATATTAAAGTTGAGTCGCTCAAAATGAGAACAGCAAATGATTAATAGTCGTTATTTATATGAACCAATCAGACTTTTGACAGCAGCATGTTAATCAATAACCCAATCACAACTCATTGAGAAGCTCTGAAAAATGTGGAAACATTCAAGTATCTGAGTAGCATCAACGATGAACGTGTAGGATCAGATGCAGACGTAAAGGTGAGGATTGTCAGACTAAGGATAGCGTATTTCTGTAAAAAAAAGACAAAACCTGAAATGGAAGCTAGATTGACATAGAAAACCTGGAAGCACTGGACGGCCGTTTCGTCTTAGTATGAGACTTCTCAGCAGTGCGTATCCACGATCCTGCCCCCACCGGCTCAGTGGTCTAGTGGTTAAGCGCTCGCGCGCGAGACTGATAGGTCATGGGTTCGAATTTCGAAAGGGGCGTGATAGTGGATGCGCACTGTTTCATACTAAGACGAAACGGCCGTCCAGTGCTCCCAGGTTTTCCATGATGGTCTAGCTTCAATTGCCTCATAATTTCAACCACTGAAATGACTAAAATCTCTACAAAACTCCTTCTGATAAAACTGGAAAAGTTAGCATGCGATTATGAAAAAGTTAATAAGCGTACAAAAATTAACATGCATATATGTTGTGACTGCCTGGATGATAAAATACGGTGAAAAGAGTAATAAATCGTTTTTGTGTATGATAACGAAATAAATCGTGAAAATAAGTAGAGTAGAATAAAACAAATTGGTCTATGGTGCCCACAGAATATAAAAATAAAGAATAGTTAAGTATGTACATTGTCTAATACGCCGCAGTTGATTAAATAGCGTCGATTAGTGATTTGAGTTTTTGCATTCACATACATGGAGTTTGTGTGGGACAAAAATAATCCAGCCGAAAAATGATAACTTCATTGACGGGTGACATTTGTTGCTGTACTATCATTGATAATAATCATAAATTGTGAAGTTAATGTAAATTGTTTTTTGCGTTAAACCCAGATACATCGAGTTATCGTAAATTATATATTAGTAGAATGAATAGAGGAACAGAATAGTGACTGCGGAGACGAGATAAGTAGAGTCATATTCCTTTCTGATCGTGAAGTTTAGCGTAGTTTGTATAGTTAGAATGTTATTGAAAAAAGTAGGGAACGATGATTGCTGCTGACAAATGTGGTGAATGAACATTAGTTGCATCTCAAGAACACAAGTTCCTATTACTGGAAATATGACACC